CGTCCTGGGTCGATACTCAATATCGTACCCACTGATTTCCACTACCCATTTGGCCAATCGTCCTGAGAGTTCTAGTTTATGCATTATATTTCGCTACATGTAAGTCGTCACAACACATATAGGATGGCACTGAAAATATGGTTTCAGTTTCCTAGAGGCGCTTAGCAAAGCGAGCGCTAATTTTTCTAGGTAAGGGTACCTAGTTTCGGCCTCACACAGGATCCTGCTAACATAATAAATTGGAAATTGTACCTTCTCTTCCTAAACTAGGACTCCACTTATCTCTATCTCCGATACTGCCAAGTACAGGTATAGTTGTTCGTCTACCTTCGGCGTGTGAAGCAGTAGCGGGCTCAATAGATATCGCTTGAGTTTTTCCAAGGCCCGTTGGCATTTTGGGGTCCATGTGAAGTTGTTTTTCTTCTTCATTAATGAGAAAAATCGGTGGCTCTTACCGGAGGACCTCGTGATTTTCCCTAGGGCGAAAATGTGCCTGGTTAGCCTTTGCATGGCCTTTACGTTGTCCACTACCGTGATATCCTCGATAGCTTTGATCTTGTTAGGGTTGATCTCTATTCCTCTGTTTGATACCATGAACCCAAGAAATTTACCTGATCCGACTCCGAACGCATATTTCTCCGGATTCAGTTTCATGTTGTACTTAATCAATATACCGAAGATTTCTTGCAAATGCTGCAAATGATCATCTGCTCGTAGGGACTTAACCAACATATTGTTAATGTAAACTTCCATGGATTTCCCTATTTGTTCTTCGAAAATCCGGTTTACTAGACGTTGGTAAGTGGCACCGGCATTTTTTAACCCAAATGGCATCACGTTATAGTAGTATATGCCATACTTAGTGATGAAGGAGGTTTTTTCCTAATCATTCGGGTTCGTCCGTATTTGGTTGTACCCAGAGTAGGCCTCAAGAAAATTATGGATCTCGTGGCCGGTCGTGGCAACGATCATGCGATCGATGTTGGGCAAAGGGAAAGAGTCCTTGTGACATGCCTTATTTAAATCTTTATAATCTTATTCTCAGTTTGTTCCCTTTTTTAGGGACTACCACTACGTTTGCTAACTATTTAGGGTATTTAACTTCCCGAATGGACCCTATTTTAAGGAGTTTAGTTACCTCGTCCTTGATGAAAGCATGTTTGATCTCAGACTGGGTCTCCTCTTTTGTTTGCCCGGGTGGAATTTCGGGTCCAGGCTTAGCTTGTGAGTGGTAATCTCCGACGGGATCCCTGCCATATCAATATGGGACCAAGCAAAACAATTTATGTTAGCTATATGAAATTGAATGAGTTTTTTCCTGAGCTCGGGGGTTAACCTCGTGCCTAGGTATACCTTCCGATCGGGTAGATGTTCGATCAATGTGACTTGTTCAAGCTCTTCGACTATTGATTTTGTAGCATCGGAATCATCGGGGATTATAAAAGATTTGGGAACTCTGTAATCATCGTCTTCATTAGTCCCCTATTTATCCGATTGGGTCGTGGCTGGTGTCGATAATTGCTATTTAGTTTCCTGCTTTATATCTGAATTCGGTCCCTTTGATGTCGCCAGTGTTGATACCGGAATCACTTCTTCAGCTGCAAATATTTCCTTTGCGGCCGGTTGCTCCCCGTAGATCATTTAATCCCTCATGGCGTCAGGAGTTTTAACACTTAGTGAAGAGTCGAGTGCACTGCCCTCATGTCGTGGATCCATGACCTCCCGAACAGGGCGTTGTACCTCATGTCCCCCTCAATCACATAAAACTTGCTTTCCTGGATGGTCCCGGCGGCGTTTACTGGTAATGTTATTTCTCCCTTAGTAGTTTCACATGCCATGTTGAATCCGTTTAGCAATCGGGCTGCAGGCACGATTTGGCCTTGTAGGCCGAGTTGTTCTATGACCCACGATCGAATGATGTTGACCGAGCTACCTGGATCGATTAACACACGTTTAAATCGAGATTTATTAATGAGTATAGATATTACCAGTGCATCATTGTGGGCTGCACGATTCCTTTTGTATCCTCGTCACTAAAAGATAAAGTCCCTTATGGTATGTAATCTCGAGTCCGTTTTTCCCTTGTGATGGATACTTTGGCGCGCTTTAACATCGGACTTTGAGGAACATCGACCCCTCCGATGATCATGTGAATGACTTGTTGAGGTTCTTTTTGCTCGGTTTATTTATTGGAGTCCCTATTTCTGAAATGATTTTTGGCTCGGTCACTCAGGAATTCTCGAAGATGCCCGTTGTTGAATAACAGGGCTACCTCCTCCCTCAACTGTAAGCAATCCTTTGTTTTGTGGCCATGAGTGCCATGATATTTGCACATCTGGTTTGGATCCCTTTGGGCTGGGTCGTACTGTAGAGGTCGAGGCCATTTGGTATCTTTGATGCATCTGATAGCCGATATGATGGAAGCAGCATCAATGTTAAAGTTATATTACGATAACCTCGGTACTTCTTTAGGTCTGATAGGCCTGTCGAAACTGTTCTTGCTCATGAGTCCTCGGCTGCTCTGGCCTCGGTCATTTCTCCTTTTATTTCGCATAGAACCCCGTCCGGACCCAGTGCTTCTTCGATCCTCATTGTACGGCTGATACTGATCCCTATTCGACCTTGGTTCATGATCGATGTCTCTCTTGACTCTGTCAATGGGTCAAATAGGGTAAACGGACCCGGAAGTAGCCCCAGTTAATCATCTTCACCTTTGATCTTTGAATGACATCGGTTATGCACATCAGCCCAAGTGACAGCTAGATATTCTATCAGATTATGCTTCAATTGTTGTGAAGCCACCGAACTTCGAACATTGAGTCCTTGGGTAAAAGCTAGAACGGCCCAATCGTCAGCGACCGGTGGCAGGTCCATCCTTTCCATTTGAAACCGAGATACGAACTCTCTGAGCATTTCATTATCCTTTTTCCTTACTTTGAAGAGGTCCGACTTCCTGGTTTCGACCTTGATAGCCCCATCGTGTGCTTTCACAAAAAAGAGTGAACAAGCATAGCAAATGAGTCAATTGAATTAGGGGGTAAGTTGTGATATCATATCATAGCTCCATTTGACAGGGTTTCTCCGAATTTCTTCAGCAAGATAGACTCGATCTCATCATCCTCCAAGTCGTTTCCTTTGATGCCGCATGTGTGTGAAGTGGCATGCTCGTTTAGGTCAATCATTCCATTCTACTTAGGAATCTCGGGCAATGCGGAATTTTTTTAGGGATCGGCTTTGGAGCCGCACTAAGAGGGAAAGGTTTCTCTACAAACTCTTGGAGTCCAAGCGTTTCAGTAACGGCGGCGCTCCCGGGATCCGGTCGATCCTGGAAAGGTTTCCACCTTTTTGCCATTTGCTTCGATTTTCTTCTCCCCTGATTTTATTCGTTTTGTCAGCTCCTCGAGCATTTTTAGGATTGGGGTTATTACCTGACTCGTTCCCACTCGAACTCTCCGCGACCAGTTCCTCCCTGCGGGTGATCTCTCGAGACGGATAGGGCTCGTTTTGCTCGGTACGCGGCTTTGTTTTTGTAATTGAGCTATCGCCGCCTGTTGAGCATGTAACATTTCGAAGATCATCCGTAGATTGATCTCGTCTCCTCCATTGTTTTGAGTATTTTGTGTTGTCGATCGGGCTCCACCACAGATGTTATTCTCGGGGCCAGAAGGGAGGCTTGTGTCGATAGCCACATGCGGGTTAGCGTCCAACGGGTCCGCAATTGGAATTCCGATGGGATCAATGGGCGATACCTCGTTACCGGGCGCTATGTTATTATTTTTACCGTGGTGAACATACTCATCGTCAGCAGGTAGAGGTGCTAATTGTGAGTTTGACATTTTGAGCTCAATCCTGAAATCAGAGACACTTCAAAGAATAAGTGTAAAATAGAGTGTGTTATGGAAATTTGTGTCAAATAACCACTATTATCCTTAGCCCGACGGTGGGTGCCAAACTGTTTACCTTCAAAATCGAGTAACAATTGAGTTTATAAGTGGTTTTAAGGATACGTGGATTAATTCGACACAAAGCGATAAATTGAATTATAAATAAGGGAACAATAATAAAGTAAATTCAAACCGTATGACTTGAAGAGCTATAGCCTTGAAAAGTAAATCTCACTTGAAGTGGATGATATTAGATACAGAAGAACAATAGCTTGCAGGAAGAAAATTATATTATAATGATTTGGGATACGTGTAACAATGTCCTTTACAAATTATGAGACCCCTTTATATAGTAGGGGAGTCCTACTTTAGGTACAATTATATAAAAGGTAGAAAATCACATGAATTGCTAATCAACCGGTCTCTCATTGATATGTGCCGAGATTCCCGCCGTGATATTCGACCGATTACGGATATTTCGGCCTTCCGTTATTTGGTATGACAATGTTTTCTCTAGCTCATTCGGAATGGGGTCGGTTCCGGAGTCATGGACTCGTATGTTCTAACCTCGTACCTTGGTTCGATGGGACCCAGGGTCGATCTTCAATCCATTACGTTTCAGTCCCGATATGTCGTACAATTGAAGAGCCCGATTTTGATCATATACAATATTATTTTTAATTTTAGCATAACTTATTTCTAAACCAAAGCGATTCGGTACTAGGATCTCAGTTATACCCATTGTGTGTGCACTGCGCGTCTATTTAAGTGCGGAATTACTTGCAACTACTTCCTGATAGCGACCTCTAGTTAAATAAAGGTCGAAGTCGAACACGTTGCCTCACAAGCTCAAGCTCTTCCCCACGTAAACCCTCACTTTAGCGCCTTATACGCGCGTTACACTCGAGCACCGCTTCGCTTACGTAAAACTTGTTCGACTTTTACCCTCTTTCGAACGGAATCGCCGAACCAGCCCTCCAACCCTGTTAAAACTCGAACAATTTCCCCAGAACCTAACATCAGTCCCAGTCAAAGACAAAAAAAAAGCTACTCCGAACCTTAGGTTCGGTACCTTACTTGACAGCCTGTTTTGCTATTTTCGGCTTTCTTCACTTTGATATTCGTTAGTTTTTCTCACTTTTTTATTTCATTAGTTGAAGTACTCTTCAGTAGGAATCTTTTACGAGCTGTGAATGATGAATTTTCTCGAAGAGGAAGTTGAATTTTGGAGTTGAATTCTTCAGAATTAGTGTCTGTGTTTAAGTTTTTTCCGTTGATTTTGTGAGAATTAATGTTCGAATAAAAGTGTAATTTTATTGAAGTTTATGATCGGGAGTACGAAATTCCTGATCGACGGTTTAATTTGAGATTTTCTACTCGAATTACTCTTTCGTTGAGGTAATTTTCGGCTGGAGATTTTTTTCCCCCACTTGTGTTTCAGCTTCTTGAGCTTGTGAACTGATTTTTGAATTCGTGAATTAGAATCCCCGCTGGTGTTACTGTATGATTCTGGAGTCGAAATTTTCTTATCGATTAAGATTTTGATTCTTATTTCATGAATTATTTTAATTCTCTTGTTTTTACGGCTGAATTTGTGTGAATTAGGGTTCTTTTTGCGGAGTTTTTCTTAAATCAGCAATGCTGGATTTCATCTTCGTAACTGGTAAAGTATCTGCCTGAGGAAAATCGGTTCCGTTTATTCTTTGTTTTAGTTTTTCTTTTACTTGTAATTTTGTTGAACTGTTTTTATGCTTAAAAAATTGTAGCTCTGTGATTGCTGTGGATATCGTAGTTTTGCTGGGCGGAATTTCCTGCACAAGTGATCGGGTGAAATCATGGCGCAGAGTAATTGGGAAGCAGATAAGATGTATGCAACTTCCTCCTGCGAGTCAGCTGATTGTAAATTTTCAGTTTCTTTGTTAAGGATGGAACAGGAACGTGCGAAACGTTTATCATCCATGCTTCACTACCCAAGATTAAAATATTGTATCATTTTTTTGATAAGTTAATTAAGTGCCAAATTCTCAAAAATAGTCGAAATAACAAACAAACTTTCCAATCTTTCAAGTTCCTAGTCGAGGGGGAAAAGTAAAATTCCTCATCATTAAAGAGCACTACAAGTTATTTGTGGACACAGTTAGCAGGTACCCTGTGTAGTATTTAGTGCAAGCTGGGTCTGGCACCACTGTCGTAAAAAAATAAATAATAATAATATGAGTACTAGTTGTTTACAGTTATGACTTTATTGATTTTCATCCTCTGTTGATTTTGTTGTGTTGCTAGGCTTGATGTTTACATTCATGACTACTTGTTGAAAAGAAAGCTGCATAATTCTGCAAAAGCTTTCATGACGGAAGGGAAGGTTGCTACGGATCCCGTAGGTAATGATGTTAAACAATTCTCTACGTGTTGAGTTCTTTCTACTATATATATATATATATATATATATATATATATATATATATATATATATATATCATATTATCTCTAGCTTTTTGGCTAATTAATCTGCAGAATGGATCATGCTGATTCTCATTTTTTATTACTTCTACCCTTAGTTTGATTATGTTTGGTCCATATGAGGTGTTCATAATTTGATTTGTCCTATTGTAGCCATTGATGCACCTGGAGGGTTTCTATTTGAATGGTGGTCCGTGTTTTGGGACATTTTCATTGCACGGACAAATGAGAAACATTCTGAAGCAGCAGCAGCGTACATAGAGGTTTGTTTTAACTTATGCAATGTGCCATTCGTCACCCTAATATTTTAATTATAACCAGCCTGAAGCACCTTGTTTTGTTTGGTTTGAACTCTAGACACAGCAGATGAAAGCAAGGGAGCATCAACAGCAGCTACAGATGCAGCAATTGCAACTCATGCAACAGCGAAATGCCCAGTTACAACGAAGGGATCAAAATCCCTCCCTTGGTGGTTCTATAAGTGCTATAAACTCTGAAGGCATGATGGGGCAACCATCTGCTAGTGTTTTGGCCATGAAAATGTACGAGGAACAAATGAAGCACCCTCACTCCTTGGACTCGGAGACATCACCTCTTATTGATCCCAATAGGATGGCTTTTCTCAAATCTGCAACTAATCATCAACGGTATGAGTGTTGCAACATTTTCTGGCAACATCTTCTGTGTTTGTTGCATTACTTTAGGTAGCCTCGATTGACTTGTTGCATGATTTTTCTGAACTTCTGTACCTGCGTGTCTTCTCTGTTGATTCAGCCAGTTGGCACAAGGTAATTCGGGGAGCATGTCTGCAGCATTGCAGCAAATGCAAGGGCGCCCTCAGCTGGCAACGGTGACTAGATTTCTCCTATTTTAGTAGACAACATCTATTTATTCTTGAGTTTATTTTTTATTTTGTTTTGGACCAAGCTCAGCTCAATATCCTTGGAAAATATGTAGGATATTAAAACAGAAGTGAACTTGAGTTGTAATCAGAAATCTTTGCCCATGGATCCTTCATCAATTTATGGCCAAGCAATTCTACAGTCAAAGTCGGGACTTGGTGGTGCAGGTACTGTTCCTTGGTTGCTTATAAGTTATAACACCCTATGTCCACCTACTCAACTAATGATATCTAGTCGATAATGTTTTATTTTTATATGAAATGCACATGGAATGAGTTTGGCATAATTTCTTATTTATCCTTGAAATGAAGCATGGAGTTCTCTTAATGAACTGTTTTAATCTTTTAATAATCCAAGTAAGGCAGTCATTTGCCACAATCTGAACTCTTCCAATTTTTCCATTTGTTGGCTACCAGATAAGTGGATATGCCTCTCCTCTATGGCAACTTTCATGAATGACATTGCTCTTTCTTTTTCCTGTACTGCAAGTTCTAGAAGATTAAAACTTCCACTCTTAGAGGATTGGCCCAGGACTTCAAAAATGATTACTTCCAGCTTCAATCTGTTCTATGTTCAATCATATATAAATGACATAACTAATGCATTACCCAGCACCCACATTTTTCCCTTATTGATTGCCATTTTGGCCTAGCTGATTGTCCATGATATCCATGTTAGTGCTAGGTTGAATTTTGGAGTCAATTGTTGGTCGTGCTCCTTCAACTGGCATCATGCAAATTTTCAGACCCACGTTTGTTACTTATTCGTATGTGTTATTTCTGATTTTATAGCATTCGTAACATAAATCTTAAAATTATTGTTGGAATGTTTTAGGACGCTGTTGTTAAGTCTGATTAATGTTTTGACTTCCTCAGATGAAAGTTGTCCAATGTAGTTGGGACATGGATATCCGATTTATTTATTTATTTTTTCAACATCGCATTTCGGTAAATTTTCTGGCATCTCAAGCTTCATTCATCTGTCTTTAGCAGCAACGTTTGGCGCGAGTGTGGGTAGATTTTTGAGTGTTCTTTATGGGCATCAGTAATAAGTCCTTTTCTCTGCTTTTTATCTTTTCATTGGTTTGTTTTGTGGATTTGACTCGTTCCAACACTTCCTTGAAAGTTCCATTTTCTCTTTTTCCATTTTTTAATTTAATGTAAAGTCAGGTCTTGCTCTTGTATTCTTTTTATGGGGATAGTTCTATATCAATTTTGTTGATGATTATATTGGCGACCACTCAGGTAACTTGTCCTTTCATTTTCTCCTGGTTCTTTAGGTTTGAACCAAGGTGTTACTGGTCTACCATTGAAGGGTTGGCCGTTAACTGTAAGTTACTATTTCTTTCATTCACCGTGTATGTCTAATTTCTACAATTTTGATATTCAGTGGTTGGCTGTTCTCATTGATATTGTTAGGGAATTGACCATTTGAGGCCGAGTATGGGTTTGCAAGTACAGAAGCCCAATATACAGACCCAAAATCAATTTCTTTTGGCATCACAACAACAGCAGGTTCTTGCACAAGGTAACCTGAATTCCCCTAACTATGGATATGGTGGATCACAACAACAACAGGTTCTTTCACAAGCTCAAGCACAAGGTTATGGTGGATTACCAAGAGGTAACTTCAATGCGAAAGATGTTCAGCCACCAAGAAATGATGGATCCATATGCTCTCCAGTACAATCAAATTCACCAAAGGTTAAGTCTACTCTCCTAGAATGAAGAACAGTATCTGCATTGGCTAATTATTTTGTGTATTGGCCATTATGCAATCTAAAAACTATTTTTCACAGCTAGAGCATACGGGTTGTTTTCCTCTTCCACTCAGAAATTTTAGTGCGTTGTATATTGAACTGTGTTTTCCTCAAGGTGCCTGTGCTTGTAGTTTTTCTTCGTAGGGTGAAAAATGAAGAGATATGATGCAATTGAAGTTTGTCTTTGAAGGCAATGCATACAAATATTGAGGCCGCTGAAGCCAATTCATACAAATAATGAGGAAATAGTGTAACATAAGCTAAACCATGTTGGGAAATTTCCCAATCTACTAAAAAGTTTAGGAGGGCGGGCCGGCACGAGGGAGGGCGGGAGGGTGGGTAATGGACCTACTTACCTTGCTTGTAGACCTGCTGCAGAGCTAACCCTGGTTCTATTGGTTTGGTGGTTGCTTCCAAGACGATTTCTTTATGCCCATCAAAGGATCTAAGAATCATGGAAGACGTAATTGAAATATGCACCTGAAATTAAATCACATTGGTATAAAGAGCCGGAAAGGAAAAAGAGGAGGAAAGAAGCAAGAGACTGAGCGACGAAGCGAGGTTCCAGCAGGTAGGTAATTCAAGATAGAGGGTTTCCCTTGCTTAGGAAATCTTTCTCTTTGTCAAGGCCTCTCAGTCAGGATGTTTGCTTCAGTTAGAGTGAAAATTTTGAGGAACCTCTTTTCTGTGAGAATTACGTCGCTTCCATGATTTAGAGTAAATTCTCTAGAGCTGCGATGCTCTAGACCCCACACTGTGGGAATACACTGGGTTTGTTGTTCTCTAGAGCCCGATGCTCAAAGTTGGTTGAAATTCTTACCTTATTTATGTTCACCAAAAAAAAAAAAAAAAGCAGTCCTTACTTACCTTGCTGGTTGCTGGTGCATTGGTATACATTGCTTCATCCTAAGTTTGGAGAACAAGGTAGCCCCCCCCCCCCCCCCCCCCAAAAAAAAAAAAAAAAGAGAAAAAAACTAGTCCCTAAACTGTGATTCAACAAGCGAGTAGCAGGCCGTGCTTCACTGGCTCCAGATTCTTAAACTTTGAACTTATTTGGTTCACCTTTACTATACCCTTTGGGATAAACCATCATGTTCCTGATGCAAGAACAATCATCAAAAACTGAGTGAGAATTTGTGGCCAATGGATGTTCTTAGCCACTGAAGTGCCAGGATTATATATCAAAAGGCTGATGCAATCGAAACCAGTTGAAAACCAATTATTAGAAATTTGAGGCTAGATCTCAACCAAAATGCAATGAAGCCTTAGCTTTTTTCTAGGTGTTAGCGCTTGCTTTGCTAATGGATTGTACATCTTTCAGAATAATTTCCATCATCCCAGCTTTCTTGTGCAGTTGCCATACCTTACCTTGCAGCTGTCCTTGAGAGCTCCTCTTAAATTGTTCTGCACTGGCTCATTGTGTGTGATGATGTTTACGGTTTTAAATAATGATGTGTAAGGCTGCGTACAATAGACCCTTGTGGTCCGGCACTTCCCCGGACCCCGCACATAGTGGGAGCTTAGTGCACCGGGCTTCCCTTTTCTTCCTGTATATCCAAAGAGGCTCTCTTTCATTTTAGTTGCAACGACTTGAATATTATACTCTAAACTGCTTGTGTACTAATTACTTGTTTTAAACAGATGAAAATGGCCCAAATTCAGCAATCCTCCTCTCAACAACAGGACCAGATGCAGCAACAGCAGCAACTGCCACAGGTTGGTTTAACCAGATAGAGTTCACATCTGATTTTAGCTTTGGTGATATCTACCAACAGATTTAGTTTCTATAATTTAAATTATCTAAACAATCAAAGCAATGGAAGAGAAGTTTATCTTTCTTCTTCCTGTGATTCAGAACGGCAGAAAAAGGAAGCAACATTCGTCATCTGGACCTGCCAATAGTACTGGCACTGGAAATACTGTTGGCCCTTCACCAAGCTCACCAGCATCAACTCATACACCTGGTGATGGGATGACTAGTGCTAGCAGCCTTCAGCATGTCAGCAGTGTGTCAAAAAGCATGATGATGTACGGAGGAGACGGAACTGGTGGTATTGCATCCTCTACAAATCAGCTGGTAAAACTTACTGTTAATCATGCACATTCTTTTATATTGCAGTTCCGTACATCTGTAATATTTGTTATGAAGTACTATTATTTATCATATGGTTCCAGGATCTTTGATGAATAGAACGCTGAGTTAATTAATTCTTTATGCATTTTGACGTTCATAATCATGTTACATTTGAAATATGGTTTCGCCAATATGCCTTTATCTGTTGTACAGGATGACTTGGAGACATTTGGAGACATTGGTTCCCTGGAAGATAATGTGGAGTCATTTTTGTCACATGATGGAGGAGATGGAAATATCTATGGCACACTGAAGCAAACTCTTACTGAGCACAAACCTGAGTCTTCCAAAGGTGATAACTCACTTGTTACGTGTAAATGCTGCTTTCATTGTTGTTTTTCTTGCAATTTTACTAAGAGGATAACTATATCAGGATTCTCCTTTGGCGAAGTTGGTTGTATACGCACAAGGAATAAAGTTACTTGCTGTCATTTCTCGTCAGATGGGAAGTTGCTCGCTAGTGCCGGACATGACAAGAAGGTAGAATGCACTTCCTTAGAATCTAATATCTTTAGCATGTAGATAATTGGATGGAGCATTGAAAATCCATTCCAATGGTGGATGTGCTTTTCAGTGGCTAAATTTCCTTTATCCGTAAATACTTCACTAATGACTGTTTCTTGCACTTTGTTTTCGTTAGAGCAATTGTCCTTACAAGTTCTTTCCTCTGTATTTATCAGGCTGTTCTGTGGAACATGGATACCTTGCAAAAGGAGACCACCCCTGAAGAACATCAATACTTGATTACAGATGTCCGGTTCAGGCCTAATTCAACTCAGCTTGCAACTGCTTCATTTGACAAGTCTGTGAGATTGTGGGACGCTGCTAATGTAATTGCTTAGAAACTTTCTGCTGAATAATTATTTAATGTTCACAATGTTGAAGCAGGCCTTACCTCAAGTTGCATTCTACATGGCACCTGATCTACATGCATGCTTTTTAGATAATCTGAGTGTTTTGTATTATTCAACAAAATCAATCTGTATTTTACCACATATTATCACTCAATGACCCCTTGTTAAATTTATCTTTTGCAGCCTAGCTACTGTTTGAATTCATATACGGGGCATACTTCTCATGTTATGTCGCTGGATTTCCACCCGAAAAAGAATGATCTGTTCTGTTTCTGTGACAGCAACAATGAGATTCGCTACTGGAGTATTAGTCCATTCTCATGTACACGGGTGTCAAAGGTTTGCCATTTAGTATTCATTATGTTCTTTTTTTTTGTAGTGATAATTTTGCATTGAACTATCTTCAATTTGTCTCCTCTTTTTGTAGCAAGGAGGCAGTGCACAAGTGAGATTCCAGCCCATAACTGGTCATCTTCTGGCTGCCGCATCAGATAAGGTGGTTTCAATCTTTGACGTTGAAAATGACAGGCAACTACAGTCTTTCCAGGTTCATCGTTACCTTCCCTCTTTTAGTGGATTAAATTGACTGTTACTCGTTCAATTTATTTTTCTGGCACTTCCGTATTTTCTGGATGTGTTCCAGCCATATGCCTCACATCCCAAAGTATTGTATTTGCAGGGACATTCTGGAGTGGTGAACTACCTTTGTTGGGATCTCAATGGTGATCTACTGGCATCAGTAAGTGAGGAGTCCGTTAAAGTTTGGTCATTGACCACCGGTGATTGCATCCATGAGCTAAGTACCAATGAGAATCAGTTCCACTCTTGTGTCTTTCATCCTAGCTATTCAGCTTTATTGGTGATTGGAGGAATGAGGGTAATTATTGCTTTCTTTTGCCAATTCTATTTCTATCATTTCTGTAAAATGTCCATTTAGTTATCTACTGTTGAAAGAATACTCAACAAAGCTCCTTTAAAATATTTTATGCTTGGTATTGAAATTGACTATATTTTTGAGAATTCATGCAACAGTCTTTGGAGCTGTGGAACATGGTTGAGAATAAAAGCATGACAATTCCAGCCCATGATAACATTATCGCTGCTCTAGCACAGTCACCGGTGACTGGAATGGTCGCTTCCGCAAGTCATGACAGTTCTGTGAAGTTATGGAAATAAACAAGGAGTCGCTGCAACGTCACCATAAGAGCGGTGGACATTTACTTCTGCTCCAGGTGCTTAGGGAAAAAGTCCGGGTTGATGTTGTAGTCTGTATTGTTTAAAGAAATCTCCATTTTTCTGTTTGTTAGTCACATTAGAGTTATGGTTTGCTTAAAGCAAGTTGAGCACACTGAGCAAATGGTTCGGGTAGTACTAGGGGAAGCATAACAACTTCTGCGACTGTTCTTGGTGATTAACAACAACTAATAACATGATAAAAATTTCAGCTTATGCTGTGTGCAGCAAATGCGTTGAGATGCCATCCCCCGGAACATGTTCTGCGCCTGATAAGACCGATTTCGAGCTCTTCATAATCAAACTAATGAAAACTAAGACGATTTAGAAATGGATTCTCTAGGATTCTTTGTTTACGTGTGTGGTCTTTTTTGAATAATATTCTCCTTCAAGAATTACCTTCTTTTAAGTAGGCTGCATCTAACCAAGGAATTGCTAGTTAATTAAGTTCTTTAGAGATAAATTTAGGGAAAATTACCCGATCTGTCACTCTACAAATTTTTCTAACAAAAAATAGCCCAAAACAAAATATCTACTAAAAAAAGTTCAAATGTCATTTTTGGCCCAAATAGTTTTCGTATACAATACCGAGTTCTCTCTCTCTCTCTCTTTCTGCGATTTTTTCCTAAATTCAACTAAAATTGCTGAAATTGACGACAAAACAACATACATTTTCGGTTATTTTCGTCTGATTTCAGATAATTTGGAGTAGAAAACCTCTTATTTTGTATATTTTTCTGATTGCATGTGTTTTTGTAGAATCGATGTTGCTTTTCTTTAGGCTTTTGCGACTGATTTTGTAAGTTTTGGTCGAGTTTTTGTATTAATTTTTTCACAAATTTCTATAACCTTTTGTTCGTATATTTTTTTTTTAAATTTTGTCATTAAACCTAGTTTCAATTGTGAAACAGAGCAATATGAGAAGACAAACTCGTTCGATGAGTTCATCACCTTATTCAAAGTCGGTTTCAATTGAGAAATCGAGCAACATGAGAAGAGAAACTAGGTCGATGAGTTTATCTCCTCATTCAACCGCGGTTTTAGTTGAGAAATCGATTGATGAACAAAATATGCGAAGACAAAATCGTTCCGACAGTGTTAAGGTGTTAGAATCTCGAAAGGATATTGTTGGACAATCTGAGAAAAAGAAGAGCAAGATGGTTAATGGATGCTGATCAAGGTAAGAGAAAACGTGTCGTGGAGGACGAAGTGAATTTGGGTGTCAACCGAAAAAAAGTAAGGTTCAGAAGACAGAAAAAGTTAAAATTCCTGACAAAGTTTGTAAGGTATATACAATTTCAGTTATAATTTTTTCTATTGTTCACTCTTCTTTTAAAATTTGGATTTAGTTTGTATTTGTTTGTTTTTAATTCGTGTCATGTATTTGTAGCCTTGGAAGCTCTATATTCCAGTTGGTGAGCCGTTTCCTGTTACTCATTGGTCATCATACACTAATGTGGATATTGTATCGGTTTTACAGTCAAAGTTGACTGATGTCCAGCTTCGGATATTTAGGGAAAGCTGTTTTGGCTATTTGCTTGATTTACCTCGAGTTGCTATCGAGGCACAACTTATTCGTTCCTTAATGTTTAGGGAGTTGGTTCAAGATAAGTGTGATCAATTTTATGTGAATTGAATGACGAATGTGTCTTACATTTTGGTCTTCGAGAATTTAGTATTGTAAGTGGTTTAAACTGTTGTGGTAATGAACATATTATCACGGCCCGGATTTTTCACCCTCGGGAGTCGTGATGGCGCCTACTAATAGGAGCTAGGCAAGCCAATTATCAATTACCTCTTTTAGCGAACATCGTCAATATTAGAAAGCAATAAAGCATAAATAATAAAACTGAAGTCTCAAATATATTTAACTGAAAGAAATGCGGAAATTTAACAAAATTCTCTACCCAAGACTGGTGTCGCAATACTCACGAACGTCTAGAGAATACTAAATACAAGGTTCGAATGAAACATAAAACTGTTTGCTTCGGTACAAATGATAACAAACTGGAAAAAAAATAGAAAGGGACTCCGGGCTTGCGGACGTCGGCAAGGCTACCTCGAATGTCCCTGGACTGAAGTCAGCTCCCGAATGCTCCTACTGCTGTCCAAAAGCTGCTGCTCCGATACTGTGATCTGTGCAAAAAGATGCACAGAGTGTAGCATCAGCACAACCGACCCCATGTGCTGGTAAGTGCCTAGCCTAACCTTGGCGAAGTAGTGACGAGGCTAGACCAGACTACCAGATAAACCTGTGCAGATATATATACAAGTACAACAAAATAATAGCGGAAAATAAACAATTAAAACTGGGAGGGAAACATGCTTATGGGGTAGCAGATAAACCAAATTATCAGGAATAATAGAAGAAACTACATCTCATTTCTTCTAACACAGAATAAGGGAAAACAAACCACTTTCACTTGTTCAATGTTCTCTCGTTGCAGGTGTGCAACACGATCCCATTTCATAATATCACGTGGTAGGCGTACCACTCGCTCCCATTTCATAACATCATGTGGTAGGCGTACCACTCGATCCCATTTCATAACATCACGTGGTAGGCGTACCACTCGATCCCATTTCATAACATCATGTGGTAGGCGTACCACTCGATCCCATTTCATAATATCTCGTGGTCGACGTGCCACACGATCCCATTTCTTTCAACACAATACACAAAATAATCCCGGCAAGGGAACAAGATAATATAATAAACTATCCCGGCAAGGGAGATCCAGCTATAACCAAACTTGTTCAATTTCTACTTAACACATTTAAATCAATACTCAGTCTCAACAGTTACTGGCTCAGTGTTAAAGATTTCCAACCAAGTCCTCATAGACAACAATTAAGAATTCGATAATTTAGCAATTTAGGACTCACGGTCATGCTCGACACCAGTGTATAGATACTCATCACCATGCCTATACACTGTACTCGACAAATAGCAATTAGCAACTAAGACTCTATTCCTATTCCCTCAAGCCAAAATTAGACCAAACACTTACCTCAAATGCTCCAAACTCGACTCAAGCCTCTAGTATAGCTTTACCCTTCGAATTCACCACCAAACCGCTCGAATCTAGTCACAAATTACTTGAATGTATCAACAAATACTAATCGAATCAATTTGAATGCATGAAAATGAATTTTCCAAAGTTTTACTCAAAATTTCCCAAAACGCCCCCGGGCCCACGTGGTCAAAACCTGAGGTTCGAACCAAAACCCGGTTACCCATTCCCCCACGAGTTCATATCTATGATTAGTTTTAAAATCGCACCTCAAATTGAGGTCCAAATCCCCAATTTTAAGAAAACCTAAGTTCTACCCAAAATCTCCATTTTCACCCATGAAAATCCTTGATTTTAAGATAAAAACATGTTTAATGATGTTAAAGATTGAAGAAGTTAAGTAAAAATTGACTTACAAATGATTTGGAGAAGATAAGTTTCTTGGAAAATCGCCTATGGAGTTTGGATTTTGAAAGAATGAAGAAAAGAGGGTTAAAATTCGTCTAAGTATGAAAAATTGCAGGCCTCAGATATGGGAAATGCGAACCTGGGTTCGCAATTGCGAACCCAGTAGGTGTGGGAATTGCGAGGTTTTAGTTCGCATTTGCGAACTCTTAAGAATGCTGGGAAGTTCGCATTCGCGAAAACTACGTCGCATTTGCGAAGGCCCAATATCGCATTTGCGGACAATTGTTCGCATTTGCGAAGACTGGGCTCATAGGCAGGCATCGCATTTGCGATGAGTTTCTTCGCATTTGCGAAGATTGCTGCCCCGCGTGGATGATCGCATTTGCGATGAGAAGCTCGCAATTGCGAGTTCGCAAAATGCGAAGCCTGCAGAACTGAAAGATACCGGATTTTTCAAAGGTTCAAAATGCAACTCGACATATATCCAAAGCTCACCCGAGCCCTCGGGGCTCCAAACCAATTATGCACACAACCTCAAAAATATCCTACGGACTTATCCGTGCGATCAAATCGCCAAAATAACATCATATACATCGAATCAAGCCTCAAAACTCATGTTTTTCTTTGAAATGTTCATAAAGCATCAAATTTCCATTTCGAGTCCGAAACACGTCAAACGACATCCGTTTTTTTTACAGAAAGCGCTTACATCACATATAAGACTTGTACCGAGCGTCGGAACCAAAATACGAGCCCGATACCATAGTCTTCTGATCAAATTTCCTTTCCATTTTCCTTAATTAATTCCAGAAAACAATTTCACACAAAAATTCATTTCTCAAGCTTGGGATCTCGGAATTCGATTTCGGGCATACGCCCAAGTCCCATATTTTTCTATGGACCCTCCGGGACCGTCAAATCATGGGTCCGGGTCCGTTTACCCAAAATATTGACCAAAGTCAACTTTAACCATATTAATATCAAAATTTAGCATTTTTCACACAGAATTCATATTTAAGCTTTCCGGCTATGCGCCCGGACTGCGCACAAAATTCGAGGCAATCCTAAATGAGGTTTTCGAGGCCTCGAAAGCACGGAACGAATAAGAAAACAGGTGATGACCCTTTGGGTCGTCACATTCTCCACCTCTAAAACAACCGTTCGTCCTCGAACGGACAAAAGAAAGAAGTACCTGAGTCGGGAAATAGATGAGGATAACGGCTCCGCATATCAGACTCGGACTCCCAGGTCGATGCCTCAGGGGGCTGACCTCTCCACTGGACACGCACTGAAGGAAAACTCTTCGACCTCAACTGTCGAACCTGCCGATCTAGAGTAGCTACCGGCTCCTCCTCATAAGAAAGATCCTTGTCCAACTGGACAGTGCTGAAATCTAACACGTGGGCCGGATCGCCGTGATACCTCCGAAGCATGGACACATGAAACACTGGATGCACGGCTGACAAGCTAGGTGGCAAGGCAAGTCTATAAGCCACCTCTCCCACACGATCGAGAATCTCAAATGGACCAATGAACCTAGGGCTAATCTTGCCCTTCTTCCCAAACCTCATCACACCCTTCATAGGCGACACTCGGAGCAAGACCCGCCCACCAACCATGAAAGCTACATCCCGGACCTTACGATCTGCATAACTCTTTTGCCGCGACTGAGCCGAACGAAGCCTGTCCTGAATGATCTGGACCTTATCCAAGGCCTCCTGAACTAAATCTGTACCCAATAACCGAGCCTCTCCCGGCTCAAACCATCCAACTGCAGACCGACATCGCCTACCA